ATTAAGCAAAGCTGAAACGGAAGGAGTTTTCTCTGGGGGAGTTCCCGTAGTGTAGCGGTTATCACGTTCGCCTAACGTGCTAAAGGTCCCCGCTTCGAAACCAGGTGGAGGCAAGCAAGCTATCCTTTCTGTGAATTCTGAATTTAGCTCCAGAAACTCTTCGTCTGAGTATGCTTTCAACCAAGTCCCTAACTTTCATGTCTCCTTTGCAGCCCCAGACTTTATATTACAATAATGATGTAGCCGACTTGCCTCCTCGCCCGCTGCCAGCTCGTTGTCAGGTCCTCATCTTCTACTGGGTTAGAAAAAATTCTGCCCCCGCTGTAGCAGCTATCCAGAGGAGGAGGCGCGGTTCCCTTCTGTTCCGGACACAGATTTCAGAGTGAGGGGTCCTGAGACAATAGGGTTGCTGCTGTATGCAAGGAGGATCAAAAAGACAGTTGTAACTGCAGAAGAGTGAGCAGGGTGAACAGAGTAGCACGACCAGACATATCAAGTGGAGGCTTGCTAGTCCTGTCAAAGTGAAAAAATAACAAGAATTCTGCAAGGAGAGAAGTAATTAAGTTTTATTATAAAATAAAAAACAACAACAACTCAGATTGGGGGCACACAGGGAGGTGCTCTAATTTCAGAAAGGGGAGAAAGATTTTTTAAACATGAGTTTTGGTTGTTACACATGAGATATATATGCATCACAAGTAAACCTTTCATAATGTCAGTTAATCATCACAGATTTTCTGGGGGCAAATTTCGTACATAAACATCTTTTTGGGGAATATTCTCATCATTCCCTTCCTGGAACATTCTTATCACTTACTTATGTATAAACCACAACTTTGTCATATATCAGTTACAAGTGTTCTTTCTGAGACCAAAAAAAAAAAAAAAATTATCATAGTATGACTACATAGTTGTTCACTTCAGGTGGGGTGCACATATTATGAAAGTAGAAGAAAGAAGGGATATAGCACTAAGGAAAGCTTCAATTCAAACACGTGTCAGTCACTTAGTCATGACAGTCACTCTGGTTTTAAGGTGCTCTTTCATGAATACCCCTTCTGATCATCAATCTCTATAGAGATTCCTTGACACTATTGTAAGAGTGCTTTCTTCTTCATGAACTTACTCTGTGGATGTTTTCCTTCTGTACTTATCATAGTCAGACAATCTGCTTCCTATTCTATGGTTCCGACACTTTGCTTCTGTTATGTTCTGGTTGTGGCACATGTAGAGCAAGGCCCCATTTGGAGAAACAACTTGACATTTCCAAAAGAGTTACTCAAGGTTTGAAACCAGGGTTCCCTACAAATATTTTTTTTCCTTAAGATACATTTTTTTTTAATGCATTGCCAAGAAAACAATAGGTAGATTACAAATATTAAAGAAACTATATATGACCAAGGTAATTAATCCAACCTGTAATAAGACACAACTAACAGCCAATATTATTAGATAACTAATAAAAATATTAAGAAAAGGAACATCAGACATAGGAAGTATTGAATGAAGTTAAGTAGCTTTTTGGTGAATTTTTCTGATATTTTGTTTTATTTCTCTAGTAGTATTTACCTAGGCATAGTATAGTGAAGTATAACAATGGCTCAGACAAATACTAAACAAAGTCCAATAAAATTCAGCAACAAGCATGAGGTCTCGTTCCATGATCTTGGGATTAGTTGTCTACTTCAGATGTAGTCTGCTTCTGGCCACTGGGGCCTTTGAATATAACCTTTAAGGCCCCCAGAAGGTTTGTTTGTCAAAAGAGATCTTTTCTGGCTTTCTTAAGCTGAGATAAATGGAGCCAAAATTTATTTTTTTTTTAAGTTTGTCTGCACATGGATTGGTGAGGAAAAGAAGTATGGTCCTTTTCATAGGTTCAATGTAGTCCAATTTTATTGAAATATTTTGCTCAAGCATTTTCAGTGAATCAGCAAAATAAAATTTATTTGCAAATACAAACTTAAAAATGGCTATGGCTAACATAATAATTTTGAAAAGTCAAAGACTTGATGAGAATTAATTATATAACTAATGTAAGGTTAAACAAAGTCAATAAAAAAACTTTAGATGAAAATATTTTTAAACATAATGATTAAAAGAGCATTAGATATAACATATAATAATTTTGATTAGCAGCCAAGCTCTTAACCACTGCGGGATTTACAATTCCTTTTCTTGTTATCTTCTGCGAGCTTTTAGTTTCTGCACTCCACTTAGTTATTGCTGCTTCATTTTAACCTGGATATAGAATTATGTTATTTTTAAAATTTGATTCTACTGTAGCAAATAAATTTGAATAATTGGAAATAAATATGATTTATAAAATAAATTTTACATTCTAATTTGGATGTTAACACAAAATTTATATTTAAAATCAGTAAGTTAAAAAAAAATTGATTTGGAACATGTAATTTTGTTCTTCAGGTCTGAGATAGTCAAAAGAGACAGTACTTCAATGCAGTGGGAAATAATTCTAGTCATTTGTCGTAGGTAGGATGTTTGTTGGTGGGCCCTCCACAAATCTCCACGAGTGTTTTCCGTTTTGAAATAATACTTAAAACCTTGCGCACTCACTTTCTGTCTTAGAAGCTATGTCTTCACAGTTCATTGGACTACTGCTGATTCTCTACCAGATGAAAGCAGTCAAAAAAACTTGGCTCAATTGGGGAACGAGCCCAGGATCTTATTTGGGTAAAGTCCATGTGCTAAGCACTATACTATGGAACCATAACACAAAGAGATGGTGCATGTCTTCATATACAAAGGTCACTGAACAAACACATTGGCGAATGTCTAGACTTATTTCATTCAAAAGAAACTCTGGTGGTGCAGTGGTTAAAGTGTTTGTGGCAGTTGGAACCCACCAGCCACTCTGTGGGAGAAAGATGTGGCAGTCAGCATCCCTAAAGATTTACAGGAACATTTCTACTCTTTCCTATAGGGTCGCTATGAGTCGGAACCAACTCGATGGTAGTGGGTTTCCTTTGGTTTAAGAGTCTGGAAAGATTATTTGTTTCCACATAGCCTCTCTGAGCTAAGTTTGCAGTGATTAGTTCTCGGCTGTATAACTCAGTAATTTCAGCGTTCCTTTCTCCTATTGATTTTAGTAACAGCGGTGAAAAAAACAAGGTGTTTGTTAGTTCCATGGTGCAGAGGTTAGCAGATCTACTTTACCTGCAGAAGATTCTGGGTTTGAGCCCCAGTGGAACTTCAGCTTTTTCATTTTGCCCTTCTGTGATAAGAGAGAGACCAATAGGTTTCTTCTTCAGTTTCCTCTTGTAGATAAACTGGACCACTCAGTCTGGAGACCACTCCAGCTCAGACTGTCAGGGAAGAGTTTACCATTTTCTTTAACACCCTCTGATTTTCATGATAGCCCAGAAGAAAACTGGTGTAAACCAGGCCCAATTGACATCAAACATTTAAAAATAATGCACAGCCAGGGGCTAAGAGTGAAAGTATTATTATTATTTTAATTCTGTAGTAGTTAGAATGTTAAGGATTTACATTGCAGAAACAGTGTCTAGTTTGGAGTGGGGGGGGGGCATTATTTTGACTACCACAGAGCATAAGGGAACTTTCTGGAATCATGGAAATGTTCTCTACTTTGATTGTGATAGTGGCTACACAAAAGTATTAATATGCCAAAACTCATCAAGTTTTACACTTAAAATGGGTGCATTTTATTGTATATATATCATACCACAATAAAGTTGATTTAAAAATAAAAGGATCAGAATCTTGCATGTAACAATACATCTTTAGCACCTATCAGACATAGGATAACAACTAATTATTGCATTCTGGAAGTGGAGGAATCAATAAATATTTGTTAAAACTTTGAACCCCAAACTGCTTTGAAGCTCCTATTTCAGGGCTCTTTTAATAGCTCAGAACTTTAAGCTGAAAGTGCTTTGTTTCCCTTTACAGCAGAACATTATGGGTGTTGTCTTCCCTCTTGCCCTCAAGTTTGACAAAGCCTCCTTCTTGTACACTCCTTTCATAATGCAAAAGATGAGAACGTTTCAGATTAAACTCCTGCTGAATAACAAATAAGCTCTGCTTTTGCCAAGTGTATAATATTGAAAGGGCTATGTGAAAGTTCTCTAAATAGTGATAAAATAAAGGTTACAAGTTATATTGTTAAGTGATTAAAGCAAGTCACAGCACTATGTGTAAATATGTGAGCTCTTTTATGAAAAGAAGGGAAAACAAGAATTTATGCAAGTGTTTACTTGAATAAAGAAAATCTGAAAGGATACATAAGCAACTAAGTACAGAGTTTACCTATGGAAGTTGGAAATGATTTTTGGATGGGTGAATTATAAGGAGAGGAGGAGCCTTTGAAACATGTGAATGTATTTCTTACCTAAAAATTAAACTTCAGTTAAAATATTTTTAATATGAGTCTTCTACATGTTGAATCAGTCTTTAGAATGTTCAAAACCAAGTTTTGTTAAGAAATTGTGTTAAGAAAATTGTTCTCACATGTCATTTTAAAAATCTTGTTTAATTTTTCAGTGAAATGGTGAAGACCTATTGTGGAAGTGGGGATGTTTTTACAGTTTCTTTTCAGTTGGAAACAATCCAAATAGTTCAGTTTTCTGAACTAAATCAATTTTCCAGTGGAAAGAAATGCTGTCCCTTTGCTCTGTAGATAGGAATCAACACAAGGACCTAAGACTGGATGAAACTGCCATCAGGAATGTCTGATCAAATGACTGTCTCAGTTCAGATCCTCTAAATTTCAGCGAGAAGTTCTCTCAGACATTGATTGAGACCTTACCTCGGAGTGGACCTGAGACAGTGAGGGCCCTCGCCTGAGTAGAAAACCCAAACCAAACCCACTGCCGGCGAGTCGATTCGGACTCACAGTGACCCTATAGGGCAGAGCAGAACTGCCCCATAGGGTTTCCAAGGTTGTAAATCTGCCCGGAAGCAGACTGCCACATCTGTCTCCTGCACCTGAGTAAAAAGGGAATAAAAAGAGCCTGCTGGCTTGGCCCGTACGGGGATCGAACCCTTGAACTTAGAGTTATTAGCACCAAACTCTAACCGACTGAGCTAACCGGCCACAGGACATAAGTGACTTTTCCTCTTTAGAAAATATAAACAACAACCAAACGATATTGTCTGTTCAAATTTCTCTGGGAAAAACAAACCAAAAAGCCTGAAACAACCAAAAGCAAACACTTCTTTTTTTCTTTTAAATATCTACATTCTTCTATTTCCACCTCCCCCTTCACGGGGAAAGGAAAAAGAAAAAGAGAAAAACTCTTCATTCTGCCAGAATAAACCCTGCCTCTCCCGGGTAAACTTGGTCTTTCCCAAACCGCCAATTTTGATCCGAGAATATTCAGATCAGGGTCCCGGACCCGGCTTCTTCCTCCTACCCCGGGAAGGCCCGGGGCAACGCGAAGCTGCTCCGAGCCTCAGGTCGCGGCGGGCGGATCACGGAACTGGCCACGCAAGGTCGGAGGACTCGGATCCAGCCATCTGGTGCGTATTCCTCTCCGCTCCTGGAGACTATTCCGGGCGGGTCGGCTCTTCTGCTACCTGGCCTTAGGGTAGTTCCCGGTCACCGCGACCCCGATGAGCTTACAGCCGAGCGCGCGGAGGCGAAAGGACCTTGGGGACTGCCTCTCTCCTGAACGCTGACCCTCCCCTTCCCAGGGGAGAACCAAAATCCCCAAATCAAGGCCAAGTGTCACCAAACTTACTGGTCTGATAGAAACTGGAGAAACCCGGAGAGTAAGGCCCCCGGACACCCTTTTAGCTCAGTAATGAAGTCACTCAGCGGTTCATTCTTCAGCCAAAGATTAGACAGGCCCATAAAACAAAACGAGACTAAATGGGCACACCAGCCCAGGGGCAAGGATGAGAAGGCAGGAAGGGACAGGAAAGCTGGTAATGGGTAACCCAAGGTCGAGAAGGGGAGAGTGTTGACACGTCTTGGGGTTGGCAACCAATGTCATAAAACAGTATGTGTATTAACTGTTTAATGAGAAGCTAGTTTGCTCAACAAACCTTCATATAAAGTACAATTTAAAAAAAAAAAAAGCAAAGATGAGAAGACAAGGGGGTAGGGAAACTAGAGTACTGTAAATGGAACAAACTGAACACAATTAAAGAGAATGTTGACATATTGTGATACATGTAACTAAATGTCACTGAAAAATTTGTGTGGAAATTGTCAAATGGGAACCTCACTTGCTATGTAAACTTTCACACACACACAAAAAAGGCCAAGTGTCAATGTATCAAGAACCATCCCGCTTCCCTGTTTATCTTTTCCTCTACCACTTCTGCTACTACTCATACTTCCCATGATAACTTGGTAGTGCAAAAAGATCTCTGGGAATCAATTTAGATGACTGGCTTTAAACGGGAGTTTTACGACCTTTGTCACTGTGAAATGGTTGATAACATGCTGGGATCACATAGTTCTCATCTGTAAAATGGACTATAAAATTCTAGTTAATGTATTGATTAAGTAACTATTTTTTGAGTGTCTGTTAGGTGCCAGATACCACCCTAGGTAATGAGGACATAGAAGTAAACTGACAAAACTCACTTTCTTTATGAAGCTTACAATTACACAGAATATGAAATGACTTAGCAAATTGCATAATGTGAGAAATGATGATAAATGCTATGGAGACAAAGAAAGCTGGAAATGGAAAAAAAAAGAGTGCTGGGAATTAGGGAGTTTGCTGTTTTCAGTATGATCCCTCTCACATCTGAAAAGGATCAAACTGTGACTCTGTAAATATATATTGGGTCAGAAAATGGCACAAAATACTTCTAACTGAAATGAGCTTAGGCAAGTCAGGAGTCAAATTCTGATGTATTGGAATCAGGTGCTGGTTATTTAATCAAAACTTGTTGGAGACATGAAAATAAGAGTGTCACTGGTGACACAATGTGTGCCTTTAACATGGAAAAAAAATCCTTGCTACTCAGAGAACTTGAAGGTTGGTAGTAAAGATTATGCATTCCAGTTTCCTCCTACCCACTTTAGGCACCTTAGTTTATGTGAATCGGTAAGGAATTCAATGGAGATGGCAAGCGTTGAGATAAAAAAGGACAAGTTCATGTTATGAAAAGTTACACATGACATTGGACTTAAGGCGTCATTGAAGGTTTTCTATAGTGGAGAGACAGAATGATAACTTGAAGGAGTGAAGATGGATTAAAGACAAAAACAAATCAAAAATCTAAGTAAGGACTGATGGCAAATTAAACAAGCATGTTGACTGAATATACTGAACAAGTTTCTAGCTAAATAACTTTTTTAAATGAGCTGGAAAATACGTAAAATCCAGAAGACTAAGGTTTTCTTATTTTATCTGTGCTATTTATTTTAAAATGCTCTAGAACCTATTTCCAGACAGACCACGATAATGTTTTATAGCAATCTTGGATGAAAAAATGAGACTGCTCAGCTAAGTACAACCAGCTTGGCACTGAGACCACCCTGGACCCATGTTACCCCAAAGGCCAACATGATATTTTCACACACCTGAAAGCTAGGCTGGCACCACAGGCACACTGGTAGAGAAGCTCTGAAAATGTTTGAAAAGAGAAGGTAGCCTATCACCAAACTCAAACCCATTCAGATATCAAGTTGAAAAGAAGTTTGCAAAATAGACTGAGAAGGAGCATCCAGCAAAGTAGGAGGAAAACCAAGAGTATGTGAACAGTAGATGTTAGAACTGATTCTTTCATTTCTCAACAGATCCTGAGCATTCATCTTATGTCAGGTCCTGGTGAAGATGCTAAGTAAATAAAGGGAGGTGCTGAGGCTAGACCTCAGGATGAGGAGCTGTGGTTAAACAGCAGTAAGGAGACCAGGGTAGCCCCTGGTGAGCAAGGCTGAGGTTAACTCTCAGAAGAAAAACAAACAAAAAGTTAGTTCTCAGAGTTTGGAGTCAAGAAAGGCAGGGAGGGACTTACTCATAGGAAAATGGGCTTTATGGCTTCTCCAGCGGCCCCCCTTGTCCTGACTTGCCTCATTTCCCATAACATTTTCCACCTTCCTGGAGGCACTCAGTCTCCATGACTTGCTATTTCCTGCTCCTGGTGGCTGCTGCTTAAAATGGTGAAAAATGGCACTGTGGATGCAGCTAAAGCAGGTTAAGCAGGTACCCTTGAGACTGAGCCCACCTTCCCAGGACCTGGGGATGTCCCCATTGGGAAGACTTGGCCAGAACCCAGGATTGGGAGTTAGAAGTAGCAGGGAGTGACTGATTTGATTGCAGGAAGAGATGATGAGTGAGGAGTTCAGAAGGAAGGCTAAAAGAGAGAGTCAGAGAAGGACAAAGGTTGACTGATGGGCAGAGAAAGGAATCTAGAGAGAAAGGAAGCACATTAGAGACAGGCAGAGCCTCAGGGAGGCAGAGAAACTGAGAAGACAATGAAGGAAAGCATTAGGGAACGTCTGAAGAGAGGGAAATAGAGACAGAGGGTGGCTAGGAGGGACACAGAGATCAAGAATGAAGATAGAGAGTAGTGGAGATAGCCAAGGGCAGAGAGAGAGGGAGGGAAGAAAGGAAGGAAGGAAGGAGGAAAAGGAGAACAGCAGAGGAGAAGTGATAGAGAGGAGAGGTGAAGAGAAGAGAGGAAAGGAAAGGAGATAGTAAGTGGGAAAAAGACACTGTGACTGAGAGACAGGGACAGAGACATAGACTGAGAGAAAGAGAAATAGGCAGATAGACTAAGACACACAGAGAGAGCAGAGACAAAGATATTCAGAGAGACAGAAAGTGATGGAGAGAGACAAATAGAGACAGAGACCAGATAGAGGGGAAGAGACTGAGGGAGAAGGACACAGTGAAAGAAACTGTGAGAAGCAGAGACCAGGTCAGGGTTTGAGGTCCAGAGAGAGACACACACAGCAAGGAACCCAGCCCTGGAGTTGGAGTGATAGGACTTGAGCTGGAATCTGATTAGCAGGGGAAGGGTACCAGCATGAGGAGCCACATTTCTTTGACATTTGACATCAAAATAACAAATTTATCATGAGAACAATCATCAACTTATATTTATATAACTCTTTGTCTATAACAAAGCACTTTCTAGTTGGGAGTGAGGACTTTTGCAGACAAGAGTCAGTTGTATTCGGAACAGGTGCTGATCCCCAGTTCCTGGGAATTTCCTTCTTCAAAACAAACTGCTTCCTTTTGTCGAATGAAAGAATGTGTCCATGACTGAAGTGAAGCAGCCACATAGGGAGTGGCAAGGTTGTTAGTCTCAGGGTCCACCCCTAACCTGGCTCTCCTTCGCCAGCGTGAGCCAAGTATGCAGCTGCTGGATGATCTTCTGTGGGGAGGCGGGGAGAATTTTGAAAGTCAGACACCAGCACCAGGCAAGGGCCAAAACCCATTGCCATGGAGTTGATTCTGACTCATAGCTACCCTACAGAACAGAGTAGAACTGCCCGCATAGGGTTTCCAAGGAGTGCCTGGTGGAATCGAACTGCCAACCTTTTGGTTAGCAGCCAAGCTCTTAACCACTGCCACCAGGGCGAGGGCAGAGGCATGCAAATTAATATGCCAATGAAACACAAATTACCCAGAGCTTTTTTTCTCTCACCTGGCGCGCTAAGCGGAGGTTGGGAGAGTCCGAGGGTCTCTCAGGTGCCATGTCCAAGCAGTGAGAGGCATTAGGGATGAGAAGGGCTGACTCGAAGGGCCCCAAGGACTGTGTTTCACTTAGCACATGCCAGGGATCTGCATCCCCTGAAAATAAAGGAAAGGATAGTGTGTTGAGCTGGGGAGAGGTGGAGGCTTAGGAGCCAGGTTCTGGTGGCATGCTCACCATTAACGAAGAGCACTTGGGTGGCCCTCAGGGTCTGGCCACCATAGTAGGAATTCGTCTGGGCCACGGCCTGGGCTATCGATGAGGCTGAGAGGCCGAATACCTGCTCACAAAGACCTAGGTGGGAGGGCAGTGCTGGTAGCTGGGAGAAAGGGCATCCCGGGTCCTCACAGGTGATATCTGTGGAGGAAGATACCTATAAGTGTGTGGGAATATGCCAACCCTCCCTCCGCCTCACTCTCACTTAATAATCACTTAAAGAGCTTTCCTCCATGATGACCAAGAAAGTCCCCATCCCTTCTTTCAATGAGCTCATAGTCCATGGAGAGAGACGGACACATCCCAGACAGTCACAGCCCATGGTGATCAGGGCTGTGATGTAGAAAGGCTAGGGGTCAGGGACCCCAGAGGGAACATGAGGGGTTCAAAGAGGGCATCTAGCAATAAATATGACCTTAAGAAATTAGTAGGAGTGAGCCAAGCAAAGAGAGAGAAGAGAAAAAGCATAATAAATAGAGGAAACAACATGTGCAAAGGTACAAAGTTCTGGAGATGAGAGGGAGACTGGAGTGCGTAAGGCACAAATCAGACCACGTCTCTCCTGCTTAAAATCTATAGCTCTTGTGTGCTTTCAGGGTGAATCTAACCTCCTTAGCTTCGCATTCATTCCTGCCTTCACCATTTACTGAGCACCTACTATGTGCTCAGCTATATTTTGGGCAGTGACAACCAAGACTGCCTCAGGCTCTGCTGTCACAGGACATAAGTCCAGAAGGGGAGACGGGGGATAAAGAATGTATGATGACTGACTGTGGAAAGTGCTGAGGAGAAGAATGAGGAGATATTGTATGTGACCTAGCGGACGGAGTAGAACCGCCTCGTAGGGTTTCCTTGACTGTAATCTTTATGGAGAGATCATCAGGTCTTTTCTCCCATGGAGCTGCTGGGTGGTTCAAACCACTAACCTTTCAGTTAGCAGCCAAGCACTTAACCATTGCACCACCAGGGCTCCTTAATGACTTATTAGAGGGTTAAAATATGTAAAGCCTTATAATAATAATAACAAAAGCAAGCAGTTATGGAGTACCTAATCTATACCAGCACTATTCTAAGCAGATTATATATATTACCTCCTTTAATCCTCCAACAACCTTATGAGAGAAGCACTGTTATTTACCCCTATTTTACAGATGTGGAAACTGAGGCATACAGAGGTTAAGTCATTTGCCCAAGTTTTCCCAAGGCCACAAAGCTAGGAAATGGTGGAGCTAGAATTTGAACCTTTTGCTTTAAACCATCATCCTCACTGCTTCTAGGAGATTCTGAACTTTACTATGGGTTAGAGTGGCCAGATGTAGTAAATAAAAATACAGGATATACAGTTAAAACTGAATTTCAGAATAACAACAAAAATACATTTTTAATATAAGTATGTCCTGTGCAATATTTGGAACATACTTGTACTAAAAAGCTACCTGCTGTTTATCTGAAAATCAAGTTTAACTGGGCATCCTGTATTTTATCTGGCAACCCTACCCTGGGGTCACTGGTGAGTCATGTAAGGGTTTTGGAGCCAAGAAGGGACGAGGTCATATTTAGAAAGATCTCTTTGGACACTGCGTAGAAGGTGCATTGGAAGTGTGAAGTGAAAACCTGGAGACCAGGCAGGAGGCTGAAGCAGGGATCCAGGAAGGAGACGATGGGAACCTCTATCAGAACTGTGGGAATAGGAAGGGGAAGGAGAGGACTGGAGAGCTACTTGGTATGCAGAGTGGGCGGGACTCAGTAACTGACAGGTTATGGGGGTAATGGGAAGAGGCATCGAAAACAACACTGAGGTGTCTAGGCTGGTGACTGGGGGCAGATTGGGGCCATCCCTGGAATGGGGACACAGAGAAAGACAGGTTGAAGGGGAGATTGTGCATGTTGAGGCCTGAGCGTGTGGAGGCAGATGAAGGCTAAGCACACACACACTAGTATGGCTGTCTACCCTCCAGGCCCACACCAGCAGGCTATCCAAGGCCCAGGAGTCAGGCTGGTTTTCCTATGGAAATGATAGTGAGTCCAGACCACCTGTGAGGTGGTCCATCTGGGCATAGCACAGGATATATGTTTTGGGAATAGGGGTTGAACCAGTTACTCACAGAAGCCGAACTCAGTACATGTCTGGTACAACCACTGCCGGTCACCCACGCCAGATACTTGAGGTTCTGTGTTCTTCAGCTGTGCCACTGTCTCTGCTCGGGAAGTGCTTAAACACTTTTGTTCCAGGCTGTGCATGACAATCTGAGGATAATATACATACATACATATCCTGCTCCCTCACCCCCATCCCCAGTCTACGCAAGGGTCTAGAAGCCTGGATCCCCACAGGTTAAGGATCATAAGTCAAAAGGGTGGGTTCCTGGGTTCTCCTGGGAGTCAGTGGTCACAGGGAATGGGTTCCAGGGTCCTTGTGGGTCAGAGTACTACTTGACTGGGACCCTATGATCTATGAGACCTTGAGTAAGTGATAATACCTTGGACCTCAGTTTCCTCATCTGTAAGTGGTGATAATAGTGCCTATCTCCTAGAATTACTGTGTGAATTCAGTGAAATAATACATGTGAAACGTTTCGCATGACACCTGGCCCAGACAGTGACAGCTGGATTCCAAGACTGGGGGCCCATGTCCCTAGGAAAACTCTGTCCCCAGGGCTACATTTTCCATTCGGTCTATAATATTAACCGAGCATCTGCTATCTATGTGTTGGGGACTGCTGCAGGCCCAGAGAACAATAACCAAAACCAAAAAACCAAACCCTTTGCGTTGATTCCAACTCTTAGCAACCCTGTAAGACAGAGTACAACTGCCCCATAGGGTCTTCAAGCAGCGGCTGGTGGATTCGAACTGCCGGCCTTTTGGTTAGCAGCTGAGTTATTAATCACTGTACCACCAAGACTCCAGCGAAGAACAAGTAAGCAGAATAGATAATTATAGATAATAATAGCTAATGTAAGCATAGATAATAATCATAGCCAATAGTTAACATTTGCATAGCCAATAGTTAACTGCGAGCCAGGCTCTCTGATAAGCTCTTTACATACCCCACCTCATTTCACCTTCCTGACGGCACCATGTCATCCCTATTCTACAGATGAGGAAACTAAGGCTCAGAGAGGATTTTCGCTTGCCCAAGATCACACAGCGGAGGCCAAGCAGAAACCCTCGTCTGCAGACTCCTCTTGGCTGCGCCTGGGAATTCTCACCTGAGCTGCTCGGCGCAGCCCGCGATAGGGCGCCTTGCGGCTGCGGTTGCCCCCTCCCGCGAGGAGTCCACAGAGCTGTCTTACGCTTAGTGGCGCCCCCGCCTGCCCGTTGTACTGCACGGCGCCCCCCACCAGCGCCTGCAGCTCCTCCAGCAGCTCCGCCTGGTCCTCTGCGCGGCTCAGGGGTCCGCACGCGCCCAGCTCCTCCCGCAGAGCCGCCAGGGCCGCCCCGCCCACGCGCAGCCGCCGTTCCACCTCCGCGAAGGCCGCTGACGCCGCAGACCAGCACTGCGGGGAGCGAGAGGTGGGGTCAGCGAAGACCTGCGCCCGGGCCGATGCCGGCCAAGGCCTACTGTACCACCTTCCCTTCCCAGGTTTGGGGCTCTCCTAGGTCTCCCCACTTCCCCCGGAGTCCCGACTCCACCCGACACTGCCCAACCCGGCTCGCTCCCAAGGTACGGCCCTTTTTCTTGGCTCCGCCCCACACTGAACCCCCACCCTCTTGATAGGATTGGTCCTTCCCCAGGCAGCGCCCCTTCTGAACCCCGCCCCTGTCAGGGCTCCTCCCACTATGATTCCCCAACCCCACTTCGCCTCAGACCCCACCTTTTTCCAAGACCCGCCCACCTCCTGGGGCTCCCACCTTCCACAGGCCCTACTCCCTTGCAGGTTTCGCCTTTCTTCTCTGGCCCCTCTTCCCGGCTTCTAAGGCCTCTTTCTTGCCCCCGTCCCCCTCGGACTGGGCCCCACATCTTACCTCCGGGGACCCGCCAATCGCCGTGTTCATTAAGCTTCTGGACACCACCTGTGGACGGACCTCGGGAGATGGATAAGGGGACCCCAACTACCGGGGCCCTCCTCCTCCTCCTGAACCCGCCGCCCGCCGTCCTTACGTCATTATACTCCGAGAAATCCAGCACCGCGCGCACCGGGGCTGAGGAGGCGACCGAGGCGAAAATGAGATGCGGAAACTGAGGGAGGAGAAAACCGTCAGGCTCGGACCTGGGGGACTGGGACCCCAGTATCCTCTTGTCCTCACTGCGCCCTCCCACTGCTTGGGCTGGGATCCTGGTTGTGTCACTCACTCCTTGGGTGATCTCAGACAAGCCCCTACCTTCTATGCGCCAGGTTCTTGTGAAGATAACATATGGAAAGTTTTCTGGGGCGGGTGTGGGGTGGGGTGGGATAGGATATTCCTATTATTTGAGACGAGGACCCCGGAAGCCGAGTTCCCTCCCCCTAGCCCCTTCAGAGGAATCTTGGGGACCTTCAGCCGGGCCCAGGCGGCCAGGGAGCCGGCATAGGAGCCTCCGAAGCAGATCCAAGGGCTGGAGGAGGAGACGTTGAAGAGGCGGGAGAGTGCGAGGTGTGCAGAGGCCATGTCAGCCAACCTGAGATCAGAGGGGAGGATCCGTTGGTCCTCATCCCTAGGAATCCCTGAAAGTTTCCCCACTGTACAGGCGGGGAAACCAGGGACCCAGAGACATGAATGGGGGAGTCTGGTCGGAAGCCTGGACTTTAAGGGCTCTTATGGTGTATTTATGAGGATTCCCCACCTGCACATACTTCTCCACATGTGTGCCTAGGCCAGGGGAGACCCTGGCTACCCCTTGGGAATCCTCTGCCCTCCTTCCCTTCCAGGCTAGGTGGGAGAGGGAAAATCTCCAAGTCAGTGTAAATGGGAACCTGGCAAATATGGAGAGAGATGGGGGCAGTCAAAGAGGATGTCAAGGAGGAGGAAGAGGAGGACAGGTCCTAGCCTGGATAGGTTAGAAAGTTTTGGGGGAAGGGAGAGACATAAATAGAAAGAACTAGAGATAGATGTTGGGATATGTCTAACATCCTCCTTCCCATTCTAAAGATTTTCTTTTCTACCAGCTTTTCTTAAATGATTTGCAGTTGGTGTCACCCTGTTGCAGTTTGAAACCAGTTTAGCTTGTGGAAAAGACTGAGATACAGAAAGAAAGAGATATAGAGGCAAGGAGACCCAGATAAGATAGTGAGATGGAGACAAGAATAAGACAGAGACAGAGAGAAACTGAAACAGTCAGATATATAGACAGATATCAAACAGGAGAGAGAGAGAGGGAGAGAGGTAAGTGCCATGACAAACAATAAAGCAGACTGAGTGAAGAAAGAAAGGTGTGTGTGTGGGAGGGGTATGTTAATATGAGTAGAGACCATTGAAGAAGGTGAGGGAGGGAGCCATATGACTATCTGGGGGAAGACCACTCCTTGCAGAGGCAAGAGTTCAAAGGTTCAAGGCAGGAATATGCCTCTAATTTGGAGAACATCAAGGATCTCCTGTAAATGTGAAAGAGTGGAAGTCAGAGGGTTAACTGGGGGGCCAGAGCCAATCAGACCTATGGCCATTGTAAAGACTTTGGACTTTACTCTGTGTGAGATGAGCGACACGAGAGAGATTTGAGTTAGGGAAGGTCACAATCTAGTTTCCAGTCTAATGGGATCATTCTCGCTTCAGTGTGGAGAATAGACTGAAGTGGGCAAGGGCAGAAATAGGGATACCCATGAGGAGGCTCTAATCCAAGTAACAGGTGCTGGTGGTCTGGACCAGTCAGTCACAGTGAGACAGTAGCCTACCTTAGACAGTGAGACAGAAACAGACACTATACAGTTTTAAGAGGAAGATACAGACAGATAAGACAGAGACAGAGAAAGAAAGAATAAGACACCATGAAAGACAGAAGACGACAGAGGGAACCAGAGGCTCAGAGATCGACTTTGGGCAGTGAGGGAGAGAGACACAGATGCAGAGATGCCAAGAGATAGACATCTCCAGTTCTGTGACATCAAAGACTTGCCCTACCACTACTTACGCATGGCGGCTAGACAAGAAGCGGAGCTGGGCCATGTCCAGGCCCCCAGCAGGTATACTCAGGCCATAAAATCTGTGTTCCAGACCTACCACCAGGGCCCCCAAGGCTGGGGCCAGGGCTGCAGGGTGACCTGTGAAGAGTGCAGGAGGAGAGGGGAGATGCCAGCTGGGTGTAAGCCCTTGCACCCCACAGGTCTCACAGCATTGCAATATGCAGCTCTCCTTCCTGGCCCCAACCAACTTCCCCAGCCATGTCTTTCCCCTCTTACCTCTCATCACTGAGCCAGGCCCAAGGCTGCCCTCACCCCCTAGATGTAGGAATACGGGTCCGTCTTGGCCAGCCCAGTGTTGGTCATTCACCCAGTACCGCTAACAGGTGGAATGGGGAGAAAGAAATGGCTTTGTGAGAGTCCTGACCTATTCCCACCCCCTCATTCTGGTCTCTCACTCTAACAGATCTTTCTTTACATACTTAGTAGTGTGTGAAATGGGCTTGTTTATTAATCTGTTCACTTCCTTCCTGTTTATCTCCTCACCTAGAATGTAAGATCTGCATCGATATTTTTGTCTACTGTTTTACTCTTATATCTCCAGGGTTGAGCAGAGTGGCTGGCACATGGTAGACACTTGCTATTTATTGAAATAATAACTGTAGAATAAATAATGGATGCAGACAGATTTAGGAGTAATGCCTAGGTGGGATGACCTTTGGAGACTGTATGTAAAGTATGTACTGAAAGATGGTGAATTTGTTCATTCATTCAGTAGACATTTTTGAGTGTCTGTTGTGTGCCAGTTCCTGTACTAGGAACCAGGAGAAGTGGCCAGAATCAAAGTAGGCAACTGCTTGATTGGACAGCACAGTTTAGAGGGGGAGATGTGCATAAAAAAACAAGCAATAAACATAAATATAGCAATAAATACAGTAAAAGACTTCTCCCTGGTATTGGGTACTGGGAAGAAAATTACAAGATAATGCAGTGGACACGGACTACGTGTGTATAGAGACTACATAGAATGGTCAGGGAAGACCCTGTGCAGAGGGGATATTTAAGCTGAAACCTGAAGAATGACTCAAAGTCAGCCATGGGAAGATAATGGGAAGTGCACACCAGATGGAGGGGACATCAAGGGCAAGGTTCTGAGGCAGGAAAGAGTTGGCATGGCCCAGGCAAAGGAAAGACTTCCACGTGTGGGCAGAGTAAGCTTTGGGGTGGCGGTGAGGAAGTGGGCAGGGATGAGTTCAGAGAGGTTGAGGTATAAAAAGAAGGAAAGGCTGAAGAAAAGAAACTAGAGACTGAGGGGTAGAGAGTAGTGGATACTGAGGGGCAAAGAGAGAGGACACTGAAGGATAGAGTGAAGAGGAGACTGATGGCCAGTCTGGGAGAGGGCAGAGGAGGCAGTGGACTCTCCCCCGCTCCTGGACTCACCTGCAGGAAGGATCGTCTGTCGGTCGCATTGAAGGGATCCAGCGGCTGCTCCAGCCAGCCCTCTTTTGGGAGGGCCTTAGCACCCAGGCCTAGGCTCAGTCCTAGGCTTGGGCCAGAGCTCTCCTGAAACTGCTGAGTGTGCTCACCCAGGCGCCTAAGAAGGGAGGCTGTGGGACACGGAGGGGAGGGAGTCAGGCCAGGACCTCTTAGCACCCCATGCCTGCCTCCTCATCCTCCTCCTACCTGAACCTGAGAGCCCCAGGTAGGAAACCAGGAGCAGAAAGTGTAGCCATGCAGAAGTCCCGACAGCCATGGTGTCCAGTCCTCTGTGCAAGGGCTTCAGGTGCTCTGTTCTGCCCTACCCACTGGGGACTTTTATCATGTCCTCAGAGGCTGGGCTCTAAATTCATCATCTTTCATCAGGAGTTCAGGTTTCTTTTTAGACGCTTCCAGGGCAGGTCAAGCGTCTGTAGGAACTGCTAAAGCGGGACAGGGACGCCAGAGTTTATGTAGAAGCCTGCTGATGTGGCACTGGAATATCCAGTTTCTTCTCTTTGCCCCCAATTCCCCCCCCCCGCCCCTCAGCTTGCCTTCCCTCCCTCTCTTAGTATCCCTTCGCTGTCCTTCAGTCTTCTCCCTCTTTACCTTAGACTCCCCTTTTTATACCTAAGTCTCCTCCTCACTGTCCTTGAGTCTCCACCTCTCCTGCCTCAGTCTCTTCTTGGACTCGCAGTTGCCTACTTACTCTGAGTCTTCCTCTCTCTGCCCCTCAGCAGACCTTCAGTACTTCTACTTGCCCTAATAGTCTCTCCTCTGTTTGTTCCTCAGTCCCTCCATCTCTCTTTCAATGTTCTCTGTACTCCTGTCACTCCCTTGTCCCAAAGTCTCTCTTGTCTATTTTCCAGTCTCCCTCTTTTCTGTTCATTATCATTCCCCCTCCTCACCTGTCTAGCCCACAATCTGCCCACTCTCCTTAGACTCCTTATGGTTCTTTGAACACACCAGGCTTACTCCTGCCTCAAAACTCCTACACTTTTTCCCACTCTCTGGATTGCTTTTTCTCCATAAATCCACATGGCTTGATTCCTCACTTCAATCAGATCTTTACTCAGATATCATCTGTTCACAAAGGTCTTCCATGATCATCTTTTTAAAAATTGCCAAACTTGTGCCCTCCTCTATTCCTCTTCGTGCTTCATTCTTCTTCATAGCAATTATCACTATCAGTTATATTATGCATATTTTATTTATTTGTGTGGTTCATCATCTGTTTCTGACTAGAAAGTCAGGTCATAAGGGTAGGAATTTTCATATCTCTTTCGTCCTTTGTTAAATGCCTAATTCCTAGAACAGTGCACATATTGGGCAATCATTAAATATTTGTTGAGTGAATGAACAATCCATCAACTAATATTGCTGGCTCTGCCTTAAAAATATATCCAGAATCTGATGGCTTCTTACCATCTCTATTGCTACTAACTTCTGAGCCACCATCATCTCTGACTTGGAATATTGCAGAAGCCTATTAGTTGTTTGCCCTACTTCTGCCCACATTATCTATAATAAAAAAGACAGACAATAGCAAGTGTTAGGAATGAAGAATGGAAAACTCTTGAACCCATTATTTTTAGCAGTTCAATTGAGGTATTGTCTTGGAAGAAGTACAGCCGGAATGTTCCTTAGAAGCAAAGATGGCGAGACTACGTCTTACATACTTGGGACATGTTGTCAGAAGCGATCCGTCCCTGGAGAAGGACATCATGCTTAGTAAAGTAGCGGGTCAGCGAAAAAGAGGAAGACCCTCAACGAGATGGGTTGACACAATGGCTGCAACAATGGGCTCAAGCATAACAACAATTGTGGGCACGGGGCAGGACCAGGCAGTGTTTCGTTCTGTGGTACATAGGGTCGCTTTGAGTCAGAACTGACTCGACCGCACCTAACAACAAAAATTAAGGTATAATTCACATACAAAATACACCTATTTTTTTATTTTATTTTATTTTATTTTATTGTACTTCAGGTGAAGGCTTACAGAGCAAATAGTTTCTCATGAAACAGTAGTACACATGTTCTTTTATGACATTGGTTAATAACCCCACAACATATTAACCCTCTAAATTCTCAACCTTTTTTTTTGGTGAAAATACACATAGTCAAAGATACACCATTTCAAAAATTTCTACATACACAGTTCAGTGACATTGACTACGCTCTGCCAATTGTGCTGTTATTCTCACCTAAGATGAAGGCTTACAGAACAAAATAGTTTCTCATTTAACAGTTACTACAAATGTTGCCCTATGACAATGGTTAACAATCTCACAACACATCAACAACCTTACTCAACCTTGGGTTCCCTATCACCAGCTTCCTTGTCCCCTTCTGCCTTCTGGCCCTTGTCACTGGACTCCTGTACCTCGTTAGTCTCATTTGGTTTTACGGGGCTGTCCACTCCCAGTCTGAACAGTGAACCTCGGAGGTAACTTCACCACTGAGCTAAAAGGGTGTCTGGGGGCCATACTCTCGAGGTTTCTCCAGTCTCCTTTAGGCCAGTAAATCTGGTCTTTTTTTTGTGAGTTAGAATTATGCTCTACATCTTTCTCCAGCTCTGTCCAGAACCCTCTGTTGCAAAATTCACCTATTTTTAAGTGTACCAGTTCATGATTTTTTTGTAAATTTACAGGTCTGTGCAACTATCAACACTATCCAGTTTTAGAAAGTTTCTAACTACCCCCCAAAAATCCTTCATGCCCATTTGCAGTCAATCCCCTTTCTCACCCCCAGCCTCAGACAACAACTAATCTTTCTGTCTCTACGGATATGCCTTTTTTGGACATTTCATGTAACTGGAATCCTGTAATATGTGCTTTTAAATATCTAGCATCTTTAACTTAGCATAATGTTTTTGAGGTTCATCCACAGTGTAACATGTGTCAGTACTTTATATCTTTTTATTGCCAAATAATATTCCATTGTATATATATGCACCATTTTCTGTTTATCCATTCATCAGTTGATGGACACTCGGGTTATTTCTACTTTTTGGCTACTATGAATAATGTTGCTGTGATCATTTGTGTTATATATCTTTTCGTAGACATATGTTTTCATTTCGCTTGGGTGTATACCGAGATATGGAATTGCTGGATCATATGTGTCTCGGTTTCTTAGTGCTGCTGTAGTAGAAATACCGCAAGTCGGTGGCTTTAATGAAAACAAAAATTTTTCTCAGAGTTTAGGAGGGTAGAAGTCCAAATTCAGAGCACTAGCTCTAAGGGAAGGCTTTCTCTCTCTGTCTGTTCTGAAGGGAACAGCTTCTCTTCAGCTTCTGTTCCTCGGTTCCTTGTAGATCATTATATGGTATGACATCTATCTTCCAACAATGCGTGCTTCTTTCTTTCTGTGCCTAATCTGCTCTTTTTATATCTCAAAAGGGATTGGCTCACAATAGCAAAAAGATGGAAACACCTAAGTTCCCATTAACCGATGAATGGATAAACAAAATGTGGTACATGCATATGATGGAATACTACACAGCCATAATGAATAATTATGAGTTCTTGAAACATGTTATAATGTGAATGAATCTGGAGAACATTATGCTGAGTGAAATAAGTCAATCACAAAAGGACAAATATTGTATGACCTAACTGATAAAAAGACAAGGATAGGTATACAAACAGAAACCAGTGTTCTTGGTGGCTACCAGGGATGAGTGGGGAGGGGGAAAGGGAGATTCACATTCTAGACAGTAAACACTTGTTATTTTTGGTGATGGGAAAGATAACACCGAATACTGGCGAAGTGCACCAAGCTTGACCAAGGTAAATGATGTGATTAAGAAATATACAAGAGAATAGGACATTTTTCGTAAATGTTATGGCATACATAATTTTGCAACAACAGCAGCAACAACCACAAAATTTATGTGTGGCTACATATGTACGTATGTATGAATATATGTGTATAGGTATATATATGTGTGCTTATACAGATATATCTATATGTATATGTATATACATTATATGTGTGCATGCATATATAGATATATATTCATATCTATAATAAATCACATAGAAGGCACAGTTACAGATACTTCTTAGACATAACCAAACACCTCACAGGATAATTTTTCTGGATTTGAAGGCTTAGGACCAGTCTCATGAAACAACTAGGTAAATTGGCATAATATAGTTCAGAAAGTTTATGTTGTACATCTAGTTTGATAAGTAGTGTCTGGGATCTTAAAAGCTTCCAAATGGCCATCTAAGATACAACTATTGGTCTATACTCACCAGGAGCAAAAGAGAAAGAAGGAAGCCAAAGACTCAGAGAAGAAACCAGCCCATAGGACTGATAGTCTACACAAACCATGGCCTCATCTACCCTGAGACTAGAAATATTGGATGGTGCCTGGCTACCACTACCCACCTTTCTAATCAGGTTCACAATAGGTGGATCCTGATAGAATGGGAGCAAAATGTGGAACAGAGTTCAAATTGTTAAAAAGTCCAGACTTACTGGACCAGTTGAGATTAGAGGACTCCAGACTACTGCCCTGAGATACTCTTTAAGCCTGGAACCAAAACTATCCCCTGAGGTCACCTTTTAGCTAAATAACAGATTGGCTCATAAAATAAAGAATATCATCCATGAGTACTTCACTCCTTTAAAAAAATATCGAAATGGTCAATAATAACTCTAAAGCAATGATAAGAAAGTAACGAGTCAGGGAAACTAGATTACTGGAAACAGAACAACCAGAACAAAAATAATGAGAATGTTAACCCTTTGTGAAAAATGTAATCAATATCACTGAACAATCTTGAAGAAATTTTTAAATGGGAACCCAATTTGCTGTATAAACTGTCACTGAAAACAGAACAAAAATTTTTTTAAATGATTAGATTAAGACACACCCTATACTAATATGACCTTATTAACATAACAAAGGAAACCCTATTTCCAAATGGGATTTAATCCAAAGGTAAGAAACCAAACCAAATGCCATCGAGTCGATATTAACTCATAGAAACCTTATAGGACAGAGTAGAACAACCCCATGAGGTTTACCAAGGAGAAGCTGGAGGTATAGGGTTTATGATTTACAACACGTATTTTTGGGGGACCCAATTCAATTCATAAAAACATGTTAAAATTATAACTAATCTTTTAAGAAACTTCAAAATTATTTTCTAAAGTGGCTGTGTAATTTTCCATTCCCACCAGTAGTGTATGAGAGTACAAATTTCTCCTCATCCTCAACAACACAGGTTATTATCTGTGTTTTCTTCTATAGACTTGCTAATA